AAAAGAACTTGTTCTAACCCAATGCAAAGAAACTAAGAATGATGAAAAAAGATTTGATGAAATGCTAATGAGAATAAACAGCTTAGAGAGGAATATAATTGAATTGATGGAGCTGAAAAACAACATGAGAACTTCGCGAAGCATACATGTTTCAATAGCCGAACTGACCAAGCAGAAGAAAGGATTTCAGAGGTCAAAGATCAACTCATGAAATAAAATGAGAAGGCAAGATTAGAGAAAAAAGAGTAAAAAGAAATGAACAAAGCATCCAAGAAATATAAGATTATGTGAAAAGACATAATCTATATTTGATAGATGTACCTGATTGTGATGGAGAGAATGAATCCAAGCTGGAAAACACTCTTAAGGATATTATCCAGGTAAACTTCCCCAACCTAGCAAGGCAGGCCAATATTCAAGTCCAGGAAATACAGAGAACACCACAAAGATATCCCTCAAGAACAACAACCCCAAGGCACATAATCATCACATTCACCAGGGTTGAAATGAAGGAGAAAATGCTAAGGGCAGCCAGAGATAGAGGTCAGGTTACCCACAAAGGGAAGCTCATCAGACTCAGCAGATCTCTCAGCAGAAACCCTACAAGCCAGAAGAAAGTGGGGGGCAATATTCAACATCCTTAAAGAAAAGAACTTTCAACCCAGAATCTCCTATCCAGCCAAACTAAGTTTCATAAGCGAAGGAGAAATAAAATCCTTTACGAACAAGCAACTACTCAGAGATTTCATCACCACCAGGCCTGCTTTACAAGAACTCCCAAAAGAAGTACTAAACATAGAAAGGAACAACCAGTACCAGCCACTCCAAAAACGTACCAAATGGTAAAGAGCATCGACACAATGAAGAAACTTCATCAACTAACAGACAAAACAACCAGCTAGCATCAAAATGGCAGGATCAAATTCACACATAACAATATTAACCCTAAATGTAAATGGGCTAAATGCTCCAATCAAAAGACACAGACTGGCAAATTGGATAAAAAGACAAAACTCATCAGTATGCTGTATCCAGGAAACCCATCTCACATGCAAAGATACACATAGGCTCAAAATAAAGGGATGGAGGAAGATATACCAAGCAAACGGAGAGAGAGAGAAAAAAAAGCAGGAGTTGCAATCCTATTCTCTAATAAAATAGACTTTAAACAAACAAAAATCAAAAGAGACAAAGAAGGGCATTACATAATGGTAAAAGGATCAATGCAACAAGAAGAGCTAACGATCCTAAATATACACACACCCAATACAGGAGCACCCAGATACATAAAGCAAGTTCTTAAAGACCTAGGAAGTAAAAGAGGACACAAACAGATGGAGAAATATCCCATGCCCATGGTTAGGAAGAATCAATATCGTGAAAATGGCCATGCTGCCCAAAGTAATTTACAGATTCAATGCTATCCCCATCAAGCTACCAATGACCCTCTTCACAGAACTGGAAATGCCACCTTAAACTTCATATGGAACCAAAAAAGAGCCCACATAGCTAAGTCAATTCTAAGCAAAAAGAACAAAGTTGGAGGCATCACACTGCCTGACTTCAAACTATACTACAAGGCTACAGTAATCAAAATAGCATGGTACGGGTACCAAAACAGCATGGTACAGGTACCAAAACAGAGATATAGACCAATGGAACAGAGCAGAGGCCTCGGAGGCAACACCACACATCTACAACCATCTGATCTTTGACAAACCTGACAAAAACAAGCAATGGGGAAAGGATTCCTGTTTAATAAATGGTGTTGGGAAAACTGGCTAGCCATGTGCAGAAAGCAGAAACTGGACCCCTTCCTGACACCTTACACTAAAATTAACTCCAGATGAATTAAAGACTTAAACATAAGACCTAATACCATAAAAACCCTAGAAGAAAACCTAGGCAAAACCATCCAGGACATAGGCATAGGCAAGGACTTCATGACTAAAACACCAAAAGCATTGGCAATGAAAGCCAAAATAGACAAGTTGGACCTAATTAAACTCCAGATTTTCTGCACAGCAAAAGAAGCAATCATTAGAGTGAACCAGTAACCAACAGAATGGGAAAAAAATTTTTCAATCTACCCATCTGACAAAGGGCTAATATCCAGAATCTACAAAGAACTAAAACAGATATACAAGAGAAAAACAAACAAGCCCATTCAAAAGTGGGCGAAGGATATGAACAGACACTTTACAAAAGAAGATATATATGAGACCAACAAACATATGAAAAAATGCTCGTCATCACTGGTCATTAGAGAAATGCAAATCAAAACTACATTGAGATATCATCTCACACCAGTTAGAATGGCGATCATTAAAAAATCTGGAGACAATAGATGCTGGAGAGGATGTGGAGAAATAGGAACACTTTTACACTGTTGATGGGAGTGTAAATTAGTTCAACCATTGTGGAAGACAGTGTGGCGATTCCTCAAGGATCTAGACATAGAAATTCCATTTGACCCCAGCAATCCCATTACTGGGTATATATCCAAAGGATTATAAATCATTCTGTTATAAGGACGCATGCACATAAATGTTCATTGCAGCATTGTTTACAATAGCAAAGACCTGGAACCAACCCAAATGCCCACCTATGATAGGCTGGACCGGGAAAATGTGGCACATATACACCATGAAATACTATGCAGCCATAAAAATGATGAGTCCCTGTCCTTTATAGGGACATGGATGAACCTGGAAACTATCATTCTCAGCGAACAGACCCAAGAACAGAAAATCAAACACTGCATGTTCTCACTCAAAGGTGGGTGTTGAACAATGAGAACGCATGGACACAGGGAGGGGAGCATCACACACAGCGGTCTGTTGGGGGGAACTGGAGAGGGGCAGGGGGGGGTGGGGATTTGGGGAGGGATAACATGGGGAGAAATGTCAGATATAGGTGATGGGTTGGAAGGCAGCAAACCACATTGCCATGTATGTACCTATGCAACAATCTTGTATGTTCTACACATGTACCCCAAAACCTAAAATGCAATTTTATATATATATATATATACACACACACACATATATATAAAGAATAATGTTGATATCAGCAAAAAAATAAAATCACTAGATCATTAAGGCCTGATTAGAATACTGCAAAAGACTTTCTCTCTTGACAAAGAAAAACCTCAATGGCAACATCTCTGAAATCAACAAATGCTGAGACTTCAGGATGAGCCAAGGCAAGGTGAAGGAAAGACATGCAGACCAGTTCATACTAATAAACACTTTTTGTGTAGCGATCTCATGCTTGCATTTGGCTTATCAAATCATGCATCAAATTATAAAATTATACAAGTAAGCATATTGATAAATGTAGTTAGATCACATGAGAGAAAGCCAGTGTAACAGTTGATTACAAGTGATATTGAGATAAATATGCATCATGAACATTGGAACATACATTTTGGTCCTGGAGTCCCTGGTCACATCTGATAGCCAACCATTATTATTTAACAACTTTTAAACTAAGTACATTAAAATTACATTAAACTACATATGTAAAGTATAAAAGTCAAAAATCTTACATTGCTTCTGGATTCATAATACAGACAGCTCCTGAGCAGTGGCATTTGTGAATGTCATCATAAGTGATCCCCATACTGAGGCTCAATAATTGTGCTAAAATAACTGCAAGTGATTCTAGACTTATGGTTCTGGGATGCTGAAAAAAAAAATAAATGTACATTATTTTGTTTGCTGGGAGAACAATGTAATTATTAAAGAGTCACATGATAAAATGGAATAGGCACCTCTAATAAGCTATCCCCGGAAGTGCCATCCATGTTGGCATAACTCATTATAAATACAAGAAAATTATGAAAAGTAAAGTCTGGAGTTTTACCAATACATGAAATGGATGATGTATTTGATGGCCTCAGACGAAGAAAAAAATTGCTCCAGAAATTTGTTAACTATATATAAAAACTATTGCAGTCTTATTTGTATTCACAAAAGATAATATTTAAAGAAAAACACATAGAAAAACATAGTATCAAATTATGAAGAGATTATTTTAATTTGTAATTTGGTCACTACCTGAGGTTGGGAATGGTGGTAGAAAGTGGGGGATAAAGGGGAGACAGCTTAATGAGCACAATTAAATAGAATAAGGTCTAAGATTTCTAGGACAATAGTGTTACATTAGTTAACAACACTTACGGTATATGTTAAAATAACTAAGAGTAGAATTAGAATGTTCCTAACACAAAGAAATGATAAAGGCTTGAGGTGATGGATATTCCAATTATCATAATTTAATCATTACACATTGTATGCCTGTACCAAAACATCACATCTCTCCAATAAATATATGTAACTATTATGTACTCCTAATAATTAAAAATTTTAAAGAATTGATTCCTCAAACATAATATTTTATATAGCCATTTCATACATGTAACTCATAAGTTAACTGATTGAATTAATTAACATTATGGTAATCATGACTGATAATAAGAATTCTGACCTTTCAATTGTTTAAATTTTATTGGGAAAACTAAAATGTCTTTGTAATATCTTTCTTTGTAAGAGTAAGATGCTTACTATAGTGCATTTTGATCATACTATGACATTAATTTTGAGAAAAATCCACAAATCCTTTAAATATATCTAATAACATTTTGATGAATATACTTCATGATAGGCTTCTAGGTATACATTTTAGTTTCTTCTGTTTGCTTCTCTAAGTCAATTTCCCATCATTTTCTACCATGCTGTCTAGCTCAGGAAGATGGCACAAATGGATTATGTCAGTGGGATGCTTTGCCCTCGACTTTTACCTTGATTTATTCTCATGGAGAGAAGAGAAAGAGATGTGAATGAAAGCAAAGTATTTATTATATCATTGTGAGGGTGCTTATGTCTCTTTGAATCTTTGAAGGGAGGTCTACCTTCTCTCTGTGACTCTGATAAAATGACTCCCTTCCTTCCGTCAACACTTGGTACCAATTAAAGTTCTTTATTACTTTTGTGAAGGTACTGCAAAGCAAAGGCTCTACATTTCGCATGCACATGGATCAAAACTCGGTTTATCAAATTTCCACACTTGAATGTACCATCTGCTTTCAGAGAGACAGTGTTAGAAAGAAGGAGGAGGACAAGGAGGAGGAGAAAAAGGAAAAGAAGGAAAAGGAGAAGAAGGAAAAGAAGGAGAAGAGAGGGAAAAAGAAGAAGGTGAAAGAATGATTCTACTGGGAATAAAATGAAGGATCCAGCCAAATTTAAAGTGGTTAAATACTGTATTGATACTGGTGCAGTTATTTTAAACCATCTTGTTTTCAAGATATTGTAGAAAGGGCTTATTAATCAAACAATAAATGCATCTTTGCACTTTTCTCTTTTTCTCCTCTTTCCTGTTATGTCTTACAGTTCACTAAGATGGAAACAACAACATCCAATGATTTCACGTTAGACATTTGTGTAAAAGCAGGATATTTTCTTCCTTCATGTTCAGTCGCTCTTGCATTCCCTCTCTTCATATTGTTGCATATAATTTGATCTTTCCTTTTGTCGTATTTCCTTTCAAAGACATTTTCAAATGTCTTTGATCATTATAGGATCAAAGACATGGTTTTGCATTTGAGATGATATTTCTCTACATTTTCTTTGTGATCATCTCACTTTGGATTTCTCTTAATCAGTCTGGCCTGCCATAACAAAATACCAGAGAAGACTTGTTGGTTTAATCCAGAGAAATTTATTTTCTTGCAGTTCTATGGAATTTCGCAGTTCTAGAAGTCCAAGATCAGGGTGCTGGCAGGGTTGGTTGGCATATGCTGAGACCGTCTTGGCTTGTAATAGGCTGCCTTCTTGCTGTCCTTTCCTCTGTGTGCACATGGAAAGCCTCATCTCTGGTGGCTCTTCCTCTTCTTATATGGACAGCAGTCTTATTGAATAAGAGCTCCCTGCCTTATCATCTATTTAACCTTGATTACCTCTTTTCAGGTCTCATCTAGGAATATAGTCACATTGGAGGTTAAAATTTCAACATATGAATTCAGGGGGAATGCAGTTCAGTCCAGGCTAGTATAAAAAAATTTTAAAAGATGTGTAAGGCAGTAGAAGAATTTCCTATGGGTCATTGTTATTATTATCTCTGATTTGAAAACCAAGTGACAATAAAGCAAAACTATATTTAACAGTGAATTAAAAAAATATATATTTTGGCACAAAAAAATTCAGTAAAGCAGAATTTTTTTTTTGGTGAATATAACTGATTAGAACCATGGTTTTCAAATGGTAACAGCTACAAGCATTTATTAGGCTTCTTTATATGCCAATCACCAGGCTGAGAAATTTGTAAACAGGTATGGATTTGTTGAGACTTCTTTTATTGCATAATGTGAATATTCCCTAAAAATGTGCCTGACATATAAGTTTTGAAAAAGAACACTCTTATCTCTAATTTTAGGTATCCACATTCTATTTATTCCTTTTTTTCTTTAATGAACATGTTATGTTTTATTTAACTCATTATTTATTCAAGGAACTGGTAAGATGTTCACACCAATTCAAAGAGTATATTAGTCTCTTCTCATGCTGCTAATAAAGACATACCTAAAACTGGGTAATTTACAAAGAAAAAGAGATTTATTAATTCATTAATTTTGAGTGTAACTGTACTTTTAATTTCTGTGGAGTGTACTACAGTATATGGATATTCCACAATATATTTATGCATTTGGTGGATAAAACGACTCAATATTGTTAAGATACTAATCTCTCTGAAATTCATCTAAAGTTTCCATTAAAAAAAATGAAAATAAAACAATTTTGTTGAAATTGACAAACTGATTTTAAAATGGAAATGCAGAGGATCTGGGATACCTAAAAGAGTCTTGAATAATGGCCTAGTAGGGTTTACACTGCCATTTTTGATGTTTCACTATCAAGCTGGGGTCATTATGACAATGTGATATTGGTGGAAGGACATATAAATACACCAATGGCCACAAAAGATTCCTGAAAGAGGCTAGCAATATGGTGACTTGATCTCTGTAACAAAACCAGAACTGTATTTCTGTGGAGGAAAACTAACCTTTAAATAAGTTATTATGGAGCAATTACCATCTAATGTGAACTAACTGATTCTGTTCCCTATTTTACACCAAACAAATTAATGTGGATTATATACTGAAAGGGAAAACAATCGTGCTTGTGTTATAGAATAACTTCATGATCTTAGAATGGGCAAACATTTCTTGAAGGTGTCTCTTTTTATATTAAGTTTTCTGAGAGTTTTTGATCCTATTTTTGTCATGAGTAGGTTCTAAATTTTATCAAATGTATCTTCCTGCAACTATTTTTAATAAAGATTATAACAGTTAATTTTCAAATATAAAACCCATCTTGCATTTCTAGAATAATTTCTATGTGTTCACCATGCCATACTCATTTGATATATTACAGCATTCCTTTTGTTAACATATAGTTAACATAAATCTTAAATCATAAAACAAGGTGAGAATTAGCCCCTCCTTTTGCATTATCTAAAGTAACCTATTACAAGCATTAAATATTTTGGAGACATTATTATGGAGGTCATATGGGCCTAGATTTTTTGTTTGTTTTGGAGGAAAATGTTTTAATTATAGGCTCAGCTACACCAATGGATCAATGGTGATTCAGATTTACTTTTCTATTTACTTGAGAAAATGTATTATTCATAAAATTTTATCCATATTTATTGTCATTAATTGGTTGAAGATATGCCTTCCTATATGTGTAATATGCATAGGACCTGTGGTCATCATGTCCCTTTTTTCAACTAATATTTGGAGAATTTTTTTTTTTAGTTTCTTTGAAATAAGATATCCATTTTGGTAGGTTGCTATAAAATTGCATATATCTTCAAAATATCAGTTTGAGTTTTGATAATTTTCTTCATTATATTTTGTATTTTGTTGATAGCCAATATTATCTTTAAAAATTATTTCCTACTTTCTAGCATATCTCAGCTTAACTCACCATCTATATGCTTTTTGGAGATGGAGTTAGATAATCTACATTCAAACTAACTTTAATTTTATTTATACATTAAAGCTATAAATGCACCACCTCTCAGCTCTGCCATTTTAGCATCCCGTAACTTTAGATATGCTGTATTTTTAATGTCATTTAGCTCAAAATGAGTTATCTTCTTATTTGGTTCTCATTTAAATCCACAATGGTCAGACACTTTTCTCTGTAAGATTTCAATCATTTAATATTTATCAACACTGCTTTATTTCTCACCATATTATTTGTTTTGGTAAATAGTCTACATTAGTATTTTGTTGCTTTTTGGTATAAGATTTTAGAGATATTACTTCAACAAAATAAAAAATTTTATATTGCTGAGGTAGGTTGGTTTTTTCCATTCTTAAATATGATTATGGTCTCTTTTCCTTTTTTTCTCTCACATTGGTGTATATATTTTGAAGCAATGTAATTAGATACATACAGCATTATGATTGCTGTCTTACCCTTCAAGAGTTCATCATAATTAAATATTCCTCTTTATTTCTCCTAGAATATCTTGCCTTAAGACTACTGCTGTGGACCAAATTGTGTCCCTCCCACTCCAAATTCATATGCTGAAACTGTGACCCTCCCCCCCGGCAACATGACTATATCTAAAGATGTATAATTGTCACATTGTACCCCTTGAATATATATGATGTTTGTCAATGAAATATTTAAAATAAAAAGTCATATGCTGATTATTCTTTCTTGTTTGTACTCAACACAAAACTACTTGTGTTGTGGTTTCACATATAAACTTTTAGGAAGGGACAGCATTGGAAGTATACAGACCCTAGATTGCAATCTACAGCCCTGCAGGATTAGGTAGAAAGGGTGGTGGGAATTTGAACATCAAAAAACAGAACTTCAACTATTTTCTTAAACATCTCACTTCTGTAAACATTGGCTATACCTGATTTTTCCAGTGAATGGGCAGGCAAAATAACCATGGAGAATAAGAAAGAATACTAGAAAATTGTTCTTCCAACTGTCAACACCAAAGAGACCATTTTTATCTGCCCATCCTGATAGCTAGTCTGCCTTTAATAATTTTGTTGCCATTGTTGAGACAGGGTCTTGCTCTGTTGCCCAGGCTGGAGTGCAGTGGTGCAATCATGGCTTAATGTAGCCTTGAACTCCTGGGCTCAAGTGATCCTCCCATCTCAGCTGGGACTATAGGGGCCTGCCATCATGCCTGGCTAATATTTCTATTTTAAAAAATTATTGTAGAAGTGAATTCTTACTATGTTGCCCATGCTGGAAGCCTGCCCTGCAGAGAAAATCCATTCTGCTATCCTCTTTGTTAAATCAGTGAAGACTCTCCACAGGAGAGTCTTATGGTTTCTTAATGTGGCTTGTGGCAAAATAAATAAGCCAAATTCCAGCATTTGAGACCAGATAAATCACTTGACCATAAGTATAAGTCACCTTCTCCAGACTTTTAAATAAATACTGAAGATTCATTTTTGTTGAACATTTTTTTCATATATTGTTGGCTACTTGTATGTTTTCTTTTGAGAAGTGTCTGTTCATGTCTTTTGCCCATTTTTTAAATGGGGTTATTTGTTTTTGCTTGCTTAATTGTTTTACTTCCTTATAGATTCTGGATATTAGGCCTTTTTCAGATACATAGTTGTGAATATCTTCTCCCTTTCTGTAGGTTGTCTGTTTACTCTGTTGATGTTTTTTGCTGTGCAGAGCCTCTTTTGTTTAATCAAATCTCACTTGTAAATTTTTGTTTTTGTTGCAATTGTTTTTGAAGTCGTATATTATTTGGCAAGGCCAAAGTCCAGAATGGTGGTTCCTAGGTCTTCTTCTAGAATCCTTATAGTCGGAGGTGTTACGTTTAAATATTGAATCCATCTTGAATTAATTTTTGTATATGGTGAAAGGTAAGCATCTAGTTTTATTCTTCTGTGTATAGCTAACCAGTTAATCATTAGAGAAATGCAAATCAAAACCACAATGAGACACTATCTCACACTAGTCAAAATAGCTCTTATTATAATTTTTTTTTTAAAAAAAAAACAATGCTCATGAGGCTATGAGGAAAATGGAACGATTATACATTGTTAGGGGGACTGTAATTAGGTCAGCAACTGTGGAAAGCAGTTTGGAGATTTCTCAAATAACTTAAAAAAGAACTACCATTCAGCCCAGCAATTCTATTACTGGGTATATACTTAAAAGAAAATAAATCAATCCCAGCACATTGGGAGGCTGAGGTGAGTGGATCACCTGAGGTCAGGAGTTCCAGATCAGCCTGGCTAACATAGCAAAACTTGTCTCTACTAAAAATACAAAACTTATCCATGTGCATTGGTGAGTACCTGTAATCCCAGCTACTCAGGAGGCTGCGGCTGCCATTGCACTCCAGCTTGGGCAGCAGAGCAAGACTCTGTCAAGCAAGAAAGAGAGAAAGAGAGAAAGAAAGGAAGGGAAGAAGAGAGGAATAAAAAGGAAGAAAGGAGGAAAGGAAGAAAGAAAGAGAGAAAGAGAAAGAAAGAAAAGGAAGGAAGGAAGGAAGAAAGGAAGGAAGGAAGGAAGGAAGGAAGGAAGGAAGGAAGGAAGGAAGGAAGGAAGGAAGGAAGGAAATCATTCTACCAAAAAGATGCAGACACTTACATGATTATCGCAGCATTATTTACAATAGCAAAGACATGGAATCAACCTAAGTGCCCATAAATGGTGGACTGGATAAAGAAAATGTGGTACATATAAACCATGGAATACTATGCAGCCATAAAAAAACATAACCTTTGCAGCAACATGGATGCAGCTAGAGGCTACTATGCTAACTGATTAACTCAGGAAAAGAAAATCAAATACTGCATGTTCTCACTTACAAGTGGGAGCTAAACATTGGGTCCACTTAGACATAAAGATGGTAACCATAGAAACTAGGAACTACTGGGGGTTGGAGGAAGGGTTGAAATCTAACTAGTGGGTACAATGCTCAGTACCTGGGTGATATAATTAATCATATCCCAAACCTTAGCATCTCACAATATACCCAGGTAACATACTTGCATATGTATGTCCTAAATGTAAAATAAAAGTTGAAATTATTTTTAAAATAAACAAGATTATTTTTATCTCCATTTGATTGATTTGTCTCTTTACAGCTTCACGTAGCTTTACTTCATTTGTTCATTGCCTCTCT